ATCTGACAGCAGAACGTTTAGTGTTCTGGTAGTGTGGCCTTGTGCTGCCTGGTAAGTGGGGGAACATGGATAAACAGTTAGATATCTGCACGCCATCTTCCCCCACGCTCCCAAAGGGCTATAAATTGGGTGTACTACTTCAGTCTTACAGCTCAGTGAGAGAGAACTCTGGCTATCCATCTGAGACGGTATCTAGCTGTAAATAATCGTATTTTATTAATCCAGTACATCCAGACACTGATTGTTACAGTCATCAGTTGAACTGTTCTGATTCTGTAACTTTACTGAAAAGGCTTTCTTGAGCACCAGCAGACAAATCAGCCTGAGTCTCTAACTGCCTCAGATTTACAGGAAATTTTTAGAAAATCAAGTAAGTGTTCATGTGTTCTAGGTATTTTTACTTAGAGTACTTGGCAGAACAGACACAGAGTAGAGGTATTAACCTACAAAGTGAAGCTGTTGCTCTTTTTGAGGATTGTGCAGGCAAATGCACCACTTTGAACTAGCTTAATTGTATTCAAGGATAGATTTTTTTCAGCTTTGCAGAACTGGTGAACAAATCTCATAACATGGTTTGGATGAGAGTCTGAGTCCTGGAAAGTTTCAGACCCTTAGGTCATTCTCTGTGTGCCAACCTTGATCCCTGAGCTTAGCAAAGTGCTAAGCCATGACTGACTGCTCTAACAGTTTCTTGTTCTCTGCAGATTACCCACCCCAATATTTATGATTTTGAAGACAGTGACAGACTTCCTGAAACCTTATTTCAACAAAGGTAGTAGGAGGGCCTGTCTCACACTTTCCAGGCGTGAGAACTGAGTGGGGATTCTAGTTTCCAAGTTAGTTTTACTCACTTCCAATAGTAACAATAGCAGACTTCATCCAGTAATCTGCTGGAAGATGTTTTATGGAGGTTTGGCTTATTGTGAGAGTTCCAACTTCTCAAACTGAAAGCAGGAATTAAACAACAACCTCTCAGGTTGCAGTGAAATGTATTCTTAAAGTTCAGGTAACTTTTTTGCTCTTGGAGTACTCAGGCAGGGTGCCTCCTTGTAGATCATCTTTGACTGCTGCCATTCAGGAGCTGTACCTGTGTTTACCATAGTCTTCATGCCTTGCCCCTTGTTGTCTTCAGAGGGGAGTGGGCTTTCTTTGAACGCTCATCCCACTCCCTCTTTGCCCCAACAGTGGGTTGTTCCCACCCCTCTCTTCTGGCAGGTGTGCTTTGCTGTGGTGCTGACTTTTGGTCATGCCAAAGATAAAGGAACCTTCGAAAGGTTTGTTTCATGAGTAAATTTTGATCCCAATTTTCAAGGTGAGTTCAAAATTTACTCCAATGCATTCTTCAATCCTTAGTCTTTCTCTTTAGGGCTGTGCATTTTTAATAATTTTTGTGTGTCTGGTGTTTAATGCTGACAGGATTCCAGTCAATGGAGAGGTTTCAGTGCAAGTAGCTGCAGGTGTGTTTCGTGATAGAGATAAAAGTAGCTCTCATGTTATAGCAAGATTTATGTTTAAAATCTCCACTCCGAGAAATTCCCATGGAAGCTAGTTTTCTGCAGGCAAACACAGAATTGTTTGGGACATGTTAAGATGAAGCAGGCAGCAGCTGTATGGCAGCTTGCTGTTTTGCAGTGATATTACTTATTTGTTTAACACTGCAAACTTTTTCTTGGTAATGACTACTTAAAGCTGTAAACTAAACCACGAAGGGGCTTGTGAATGCATAATTTTCTTTTAAAAACAAACCAGTAATACAAGTAGCTTGGCAGTGGCTTGAAATCTGTTTTTTGAAAGAAACAAAGCTAAAACCTGTCCCAAATGATACTTTGATTTTTCAGTGTAATATGTGAAAATAAAAGAAGCCTCGCCCCCTCTCCTTCCTCACCCCTTCTCCTTCCTCTTCCAATTAAGTTAGCTCTGGGAAAGCAACTTAAAGGCAAAAGTTTCAGTTTGGTCTTAAGTAAAAAGCTGTTTACTGTTGCTGGAGAATTTTAGTGCACCAACGAGCTTGTGCTTGTATGAAGGAAAGAAAACTGCAGTTTATTGTCTGGTTGTGTGTGTTTGTGTTGCGCATATATCAAACCTTGGGGTAACTTATTGCCCTTAGTATTTATTGTGGCTCAAGTGTCTTTGTTTCATAAGAAAATAAGCATTTCTGAAAGTGAGTGTGCTGCTTTCTTGTCACCTCAATGTACTGCTACTGTGTTTGACTTCCCAGCGGGCTACAGTCAGCAGACTGGTCCTCAGCCAGCGCAGCAGTTCCAAGGATACAGCCAGCAGGCATCACAGGCTCCAGCTCCTGGCTTTCCTGGGCAACCCCAGCAACTGTCTGCTCAAGCTCCTCAGCAGTACCAGGCCGGCAGCTACGCAGCACAGAACTATACTACACAAGCCTCTCAGCCTGCTAATTACAGTGTGTCCCCTGCCTCCCAACCTGGAATGGCTCCAAGCCAGCCAGGCGCTTATCAGCCAAGGCCAGGGTTTACACCACCCCCAGGAACCACCATGACTCCCCCTCCAAGTGGGCCCAACCCTTATGCACGCAACCGTCCACCCTTTAGTCAGGGCTACGCCCAACCAGGACCTGGCTATCGATAAAGAAGCTCAGCTGCTGAATGCCACAGGTACATACAAGCAGCTGCTAGATACTATTCCATCTTAACAGACTCCAATACTTTTAATTGGTACTAAAGTTTCAAAACAGTGAGAAGGCAGAGAGAAATCTTTATATCAGTGTTGCTGTTCAATAAGTGAAATAATTTGCTGGGACAAAAGACCAAATGAATCCTTTTCTGCTTTAAATTGTATTGGCTTCCTAGTTTAATTTGGGGTTTTGGAAACACTATCTAAATGTTTGTAAAGTGTTTAACATTCTAGCTTGCCTTGTCTGAAGGATATTAAAATGCTAGTTGGAAATTTAGCCCATTTACCTGGCTTGTTTTTACTAATAATATAATGTACTAAATTAGATCCATTCTGGACTTAAAGCTAGATATTATGTATAAATTGTAACATTCACATTGAAAGCTAATAAAAAAGATTGAATTCACTGCTTGACTGGTTTTAATTAAGCACTCTGGATAAGATGGTGTGAGCACACTTACTTGTTTTTTATACCCTTTTTAGATCAACTGTTCTTAAAATCCCCCAGAACCTATTTGTTGTATAGGCCTCGAGTGAAACTGCTAGATTTGTCACCCAGTCTGCACAGTGGGAAAGTTATTACAAAGGTTGGCTGTTTTTTGTACTAATCAGTTTCAGAGCCATTTTTCAATGCCTATAGTTGCCAGATTGCCAAATCATGGTAGTTTTTTTCTTTTTAGTGCTACGGCAACAAAAGTGAACAGATACATTAAGGAACCCATGAAACTGACATAGCAGTGGGGGTTTTTTAACTTGTATTCTGATTTAAAAAAAAAACCCCAAGCTTCAGTGACTTGATAGGAATCTTTTTGAGGTATTTGGCTTGGAATCCTTAACAAGAAATAGTTTACACAAACCTTTTGCCACTCAGAAAAACTTGGACAGCAGTGCTGGTAGCATCATACTGTGCCGAAAAGAAAACCCAAACCCCAAATCCATGACAGTTATGAAACCCAAAGCAGACCACACAGAGCAAAACATGGCAAAGAGCAAAACCACTTTGCTTTGGTTAAAGGATTCCTAGAAACCATACTGCCAGTGCTAACAGATGGAAAGGCTAAGGCAAGTCCTAAGAAAAGAATGGAAATTGTTTGAGGATTTGGGTGTAATGCACAACTGACACAGTACTATGAACTGTTCGACTGGAGCAAGCTACTTCCTTATTAAAAAAATTGTGGTACGGTGGTATTAAAATGTCCAGACTCTTTAAAAAGAATTGAATAATAGCAATAGGACGTGACCTGCACATCCAGCCTGATTTCTGTTCATCTCAGTAGGGTGGGGAGGCAGCAATGCACTTAGGAAGTACTTGGAGTCTCGTCTTCTAGTACAGCCCCATTTAATACATTAGAGGTAAATGTCTCATCCCTAAGGCACACTGACAGTTACTACTCTTGGTTGGCTACAGTCCAATTAGTGCACCAGGTATCCATATAAAAACAGTTGGTGTGTTTGCAGGAAAAAACATCCAGCTTTTCACTATAGTAGTGATACCTCTAGAAGAGGGTACAGACAGTTTCACAGTGCAAGGAAGCTTGCAATGTAAGCTGTCATTTTGGTGGTACCTCTTCCCCAGCCCTCATTTTGCACCAGTGCACAACACCAAGAAGAAAATCACTCAAAGTAAAACTTTACATGATTAAAAAATACTTTATTAGGAGTACAGTGTACCTGCAATGTACTTTAAGGCATTTTCTATAAATGACTTCTATTATTTCCTTGGTGTTCCTGTTCATACCATCAATACATTTTTAATGTAATGAATAAACGCCTTACTTAAAAAAACTACATCTCTTTATTTCATTCATAAATGTTCAAGCAATACAACAAATAGCTTTGTTGGGAGGGGAAGAAGAAGTGGTAAGTGAGTTTTTAATCAAAATACTGTAAAAGCAGTTTTAAAAATTCATTTATTGCTATTTTCCCTTTGTCTCCTAATATCAAACAGTTCTTCAAAGCCTGTCTCTATCTTTTTATAGAGAGAACCTGGTTATGCTAGCATTAGCTAGGAAATGGCATGTAAATATGATTCAGGGAAGTCCTGTCCCCACTTCACACATTATCTTACAGAACCCTGTTGTGCTATCCATTTGGCTTGTCAGGCAGCCGGTCTGAAATTCAGAAAACACTACCTTTTATGTAAATCACTTACAGCAGCAAGCCAGTGTTAATCCTGTTTCCCAAGTACATACACTTATATGAAGAAAAATTACTGCCAGTCAGCATACCAGGGAGAGGGACTTGAATCTGGATCAGCTTGTATTTTAACTTGGATGCAGATAGACTATAAACCAGTGTTCCTAACCAATACAAACAGGCAGAGTTTCTAACATTTAGGTCTTTGGCAAGAGGCTGCATAGACTTCTACAAGCTGCGCTTGTGTCTTTTATTGTTTGTTTGGTTTTTTTTGAATCTACAGTTTAAGTAGAGTGGGGAAATAGCCCAAGACTACAGAAGCACCTGGACAAGAAGCACATGGCATTATATATTATGATAAAAACAGTGAATATTTAAAATTAATGCATATTGCAGTTTCCTGGTCAACTTTGCCACAATTGTGCCTCAGAACATTCATTACAACATTGTGATAAATAATATACACACCGAATCTTTTAAAATACCATATAAACCGTACCTTACGATACCAAGAACAGGGAGCCAGCTTCCCCAGACATTATCCTACAACATATCCTTACCTTGTTTTAACCTAAAACAAATTTGTAAAACTGGATAAATACAGTAAGCAGCCTAGGCTATTACACAATGCAGTATTGTCATTAGATTTTTACGAACTTTTACACGTTAGCAAACTTGTTTAAATGACAGGAATATCATAAACTCTTCCATCTCTGAGCTTGTTTCGGGGAAGGCAGGTGGGTCTAATGATGGGAATTTTTCATGATCAAGTTCATGCAGCATCTACCATTTTCCGGGTATTGAAGTTCCGCACTCATACCAATGAACATAGTTAATATGCGTCTCACCCCCTATTTTGCCGAACTTGACAGGCTCCTGGCGAACTGCTCTGAAAAAGCCTAATAAAAACAAAAGTGGAAGATGGCTCAATGCAGATGGTAGTTTTAAGGTAATGGAATATTGGTTCATTGGCTTGGAGAGTATCTGACCAGAGTAGAACCAAATCAAAATGCTCCGTGTACTTGGAATGTATTTGGAAAATTCAGAAAATTTTCAGTTTGTCCTTCCTACCTCCTATGAACTGCACCAGACCGCTACTACACTTCAGGAAGAGCATGTGCATAATGTGGGTGGAATGGAGTCCAACCAGCCGAGCAGAGGCAGGGAAGGAACAGAACAGCAATGGGCCAATGTCCAGGTTCTTCCTCTAGTTATTTATCATTATCACTTAGTTTGCAATAAAACAGATTCCAGTGACAGGTAGACCCCACTTGTCCTGTAGAAACTTCCATATATGTGACCACAATGAAGGCTTAAAAGCTTGGGGGTAAACAGTTAAGTCCAAATACTGGAGTGTTCTCCAAGTTTATATGCAACAGTGCTTAGCAATGCCAATCTGAAGTCAAACTTACTTATTTTCATACACAGTGCAAAATTATACTGTCACTTTATAAACATGCCAGGAACAGGGTGGGGAACTTTCTTTTTAAAGAGTTTATGTGATCACTTCTTAGATTGTTTAATAACTTGCTCTCAGAAAAGCTGAAGTGAAACTACATCAAGCCTGGAGGCTATATGTAAGCGCCATACAAAGCCCCAATATATTTTATATTAAAAATATATATAGATATAGATTGATAGATATATTAGGGGTGTACCAATACAGATTTTTGGGACCGATACCAATAGCCGATATTTAAGGAGATATATTGGCTAATATCGGTCCGATACAGCTGCCTTGAGCTGGTAAGTCCAGTGTGGTGGAAGGGGAGGGGGGGCGGGAAGG